AAGACAAGCAAAAGGCCAATCTGGACCAAAATTGGCATACTCCATTCAAGTCTAAATATGTAAATATCTGTAAAGTTTGGAGATGATCTTACCAATGACTGTTGAGTTATAGTAAATCAAGCTAGCAATGCCATGTTTGCAGTAATTAATTGGTGATCCTCAATACACTGAGTGGAACAGTCAAAATGTTTTTGATAATTCTTGAGGATCAGTGTCTTCTGAATCTTATGGTACTAATTTGATGAAAATTGGCAAATAATCCTGAGACTAGTTCGCAAGAATAGGTTTTTCACATTATGCAAATTAGCTCAAAAACTAAGGGGCTGGGGCAGTGTACTTGTTCAGCAAGTCCCAAGGAATCAGCAGAAAAAAGAATTTTGTCTCTATCTCACTCTGATCAAAAGTTACAGGCAAAAATATGAGTAAAGTTAAAAAAGATGAAAAATAGAAACATAGGACTAAAGTAAAGTATGAGCTCAGTGAAAGTGGGTCAGAATTAGTGAAAAGGCCACAATATGGTATGATTCTTCATCAGGGACCATATCCAAAGATGTTTACCAAGTTTTGGTCAGATTGACCTTTTGACCTTTGTATAATAAGCCTTCGTATAATGTAGTCTTCGAATGAATAAGCCAAAATACCAGACAAACAGTACAATTTGTGACATAACATGTAATTAGAAAGTTGTTCATGTGAATGACTTGAGTGGTATGGCACCATATGTTTATCTGTCGACCTTGTAATAACATTGTAATAACATTTTAATTGATTTTTAAGTGTTTTTGAGTGCTAAAGCGCCCCCTAAAGGCCAATCTGGACCAAAACTGGCATGCACCATTACAGTCCAAATATGTAAAAGTCCTTAAAGTTTGGGTATGATCTGACCAATGACTGTTGAGTTATAGCTAATCAAGTTAGCAAAGCCATGGCCACAGTAATTAATTGATTGATCCACACAACCCTGAGTAGAAAAGTCAACATGTTTTTGATAATTATTTACCTACACATGCCAAAGAATTTTTCCAGACCAAGGTCGAAAAGATTAGATCAAAATCCAGGGACTAGTGGGCTTTTTAAACAGTTACCGATTACAAGAAAATGTGTCTGTCAAGTTTGAAATTTTTTGGCTGAAGGGTCGTGTTACAGACTTTTCAATTAATTCTAAATTATTTTAAATTCATCCAGGAGGGTTCATTTGCATATGACAGCCATGTTGTTTAGAAAAGTCAAAATGTTTTTGATAATTATTGAGGTTTAGGCTATTCTGATTTTTTTGACACCAAATAGATGAGGATTGGGCAAAAACTGTAGGACTAGTTCGCAAAAGTAGGTTTCGCATATTATGCAAATTAGCTCAAAATCTAAGTGGGCGGAGCTAAATGGTCCAAATGGCAAAGTTGTTTGTTTGGACCCAAGGAACTTGGAAAAAAAATATGGCTTGTCTGGCAAAAATCTGGTTTGGAGTTATAGACCCAAACGCGTTGACCTGCGCTATAGCACCCCCTTGTGGCCGACTGGGCTGATTCCTTGCGCCTGAGTAGCGGGAGGGCCTACTACCTATTGACCAAGTTTCAAGTCTCTAGGACTTATGGTTTGGGCTGTGCGTTCTGCTTCAGGGAAGAAAAAGAATATGAAGAAAAATCTTGACAATTCCAATAGGTTTCATTGCATTGCATGCTTGAACCCTAAAAATCCTCACAATTCAAATAGGGTTCAATACATTGCATACTTGAACCCTAATAATAAGAAAAATCTTGACAATTCCAATAAGGTTCTACGCACTGTGTGCTTGAACCCTAAAAATCTTGACAATTCCAATAGGGTTCAATGCATTGCATGCTTGAACCCTAATAAGAAAAATCTTGACAATTCCAATAGGGTTCAAGGCATTGCATGCTTGAACCCTAATAATAATAAGAAAAATCTTGACAATTCCAATAGGGTTCTACGCACTGCGTGCTTGAACCCTAAATATGGCAACAGCAGGTTATCCACCAATTCTGTAAAGAAAAAAAAAGTTCAAATATTTTATGCATGCTCTTTTCTATTGTGCTCTGGCTTAAATGTGTCCATTTCGTTGGGTGGAGGATGTGCCAATTTAAGGAACATTTTTTTGTCCTGTTTATCCTCTTATTTGCACTGGAGTTCTACCTTACTGCTTTGAGCAAAATTAAAAGATGTACGTTTTCATTTGACGTACATCAAACGTCAGCGCGGATAGGCTAAAATTTTTTACACCCACACTGAACGGCCAGAGGACTATCACTCATCATCGAGGCTCCGCCTACATGGGGTTTATATAACCGGAAAACGACCAGCGGAAAGCTCCAGAACACAATTACGGTAAGTGAAGGTATTCTTTTTTTTAAACATTGGTAAGGAATACGACCCTTAACATTAGAGGATTTTAGCTAACAAAGACGACTGGCTGACAGTAGGCAGAACTAACTTGGTCAGGTAATGTAGCTAACTTAGCAGTTTACAGTTAACGTTAATTTACAAAATAAGGCATGTGATAAATTAAAAATGCACCTACATATTACATCAATTCGAGAAATTAATAAATTAATTCTTATGTTCATGCCTGTAACAGTGTCATGACATTTCCCAGCACAAGACCTAACAACGTTAGCTAGTTGATAACCTAGCTAATGTTAGCTTCCGCGTGCGGGAAAAGTAAAACGGGTAGCCTAGCTAGCTAGCTAGCTAAATTACTTAAATGGCTAACTTACGTTAGCCACAATACGAGAATATAAATACGGTTTCTTTAGCGTGTATTAATTAAACCTGGTATATTTTATGCCATGGTTAAAACTTTTTATGTCAGATAAGGAGATGAGCTACATAGGACATAAGCTAGAGACAGACTGAAGGCGAACCGTCGCTTTTCCAGCCACCTAGGATGTGTTGAGCGGGACTCGACGCGTTTTATTAAGTCTTTGAGCACAACTTACTGGTTGTTAGATAAAGCTGCAGGTTGTACTGTGGATAGATATCTGAGTATTCGCACGTCGTTGCACGACATAAAAACGTCATTTTGATCTCCTTTTTGTAAGGTTATAAGCGTTCCTGTTAAAGGTACGTTTCCTTAACCAAGTCCGTTAACGTTACATTATTTTATGATACATGTAGGCGTCGGCAGGCATAGCTTGCATTATGTGACGTTACCATAGCTATTAACACTACATGACTCTGTATTTTGCATGTTCATAACGGAATGATATGAAAATAGCTCAGTAACTTGTTGTCGCTTTATTTAACTAGGGTTAAATAACTTTCGACTCCAACACGTCTGGGATTCGGGGTCGACTCTTGGCCAGTGACTCAGAGTCGAAATGCTCGAAATCGATTCTTCGACCCTGTATCTTTTTCGTGCTTGAAGGACGTGTAATGCAAGAGTCTACGTTGGGGAGTTTGTTTAATTACGAGCTTTAATCAATGCTAGGTTAGCTGATGCTGCTCACCAGCTGCTCTGCTCACAGAACCGTTTTCTATTCGTCCTGCACCATAGCCCTTTGTTTTCTTTAGAGCTTGGTTCGCAATAAACAGTAATTAGAAGCGATGCACAAAACGAAAAAAAAATTGCTGTTTTTCACAGAGTGTTGTGGAAAAGATGATTTGTTCCTTATTTGTCAGCTTCTTATTCAAAATGTCCGTTCCACCTAAAATGGCGCTGCAGTGACAACCTGGCACCGGCGCACTATTAACGCAAATGCTGAATTATTTAAGATGGAACGGAAAAGTCGAAAAAGAAGCTGGCGAATACGAAGACTCATGAAAAGAAGATAACACCCAGCTAGTTCCTTTTCATTTCACTAATATCTGAGAGATTAATGGCTTTGAGGGGTTATGTTCTGACAGAGTTTGCACGGAAACGATGTTCACTCGCTGAAAGATGAAGGTGGAAAGCAACAGAGTTGCAGCAGTTTTTACTGTATACGGGTCCAGTTGTTCTGAGAGATGTATTGCATTCTGAGGTGTATCAAAATTTTATGCTTCTTTCAGTGGGTGTGTACATTTTAGCAAGTCCTCAGTATTGTTCAACACTGAACGACTTCGCTAATACTCTATTGACATCCTTTGTTGGCCATTTTGGTTAGCTGTATGGTCGAGAGTTTTTAGGCTACAATATACATGGTCTGACGCATCTAAGTGATGTCAAGATCCATGGCCATTTGGATTCCATATCTGGTTTTCCCTTTGAGAATTATCTAAGGAAGCTTAAAAAATTGGTTAGATGATCTCACTGTCCATTGCCCCAAGTAATTCGCAGACTTTCAGAGTTTGCTGCAACTGATTTGAGTCATGATGTTAGCTTCAGAAATAGGAGAACTTCAAGAGGGCAACACTTTGATGGACCTGTACCGTTGTGCTTCGGGGAGACAGTCACTCAGTTTAAGGAGTTAACATTTGAGGAGCAGGTAATCAGGAACTCTGAAGGGGACAACTGTAATAAAATCAACAACAAATTTGTCTTGGTTGAAAATATACTTTTTTTTTGAAGATACAGAGTATATGGTCTATAAAGAGTACAGACAGTGCAAAAAGTTTTTTGATTATGCTGTTGACTCTAGAGACTTTTCTGTATCCAACCTTTCCCAAAATTTGAAGTGTTGCCAGCTTGAAGGCAATGTTCAAAAGTGTGTGCGTCTGCCACTGGAGGGTCATTTTGTTGTTATTCCCTTGCTTCATACAAAGTAGGGCTGAACTGTTTTTTTTCCCTCCATTTAGTTGTGGTATTTTTTTTTATTTTGAACTTTTTTAAAAACCAGCTTTTTTGTTCTACAAATTACTATTGAATATCAAGTGGACATTGTACACATTAGCACGGATTGCTGTCTTCAGCATTTTCCACTGTGTTCCCTGGTGGGCCTGAAACCCTGTCACTTTGTGTGTATTTTGATTTAATGTGCCTTAAAAGTACATTATTTAAGAGTGTTTAAAAAATATTCAGATTTCAGATTATGAAGTGACAGATGTCTACCTTCTCTTTTTAGGAGATGTATAACATTGTTATTTTTCAAGAAACAGATGAAGTTGAAGTGGTGCCAGCAGAATGGGTTAGCAATGGAGTCTGTCTGTGGCCGCCATACAAAAGCTGTAAAATGATTAAGGCAGCCAGAAATAAAGAGCAGCCAAGGCAAGGATGGAGGTCCTACCAAGTTAAATTGATTTACACTGCAGGTGTGTTTTTTATCAGTTTTTTTTTTCAAACTAACAATTAAAAAAAGTTAATGAAGGGCACTAGAATTTACATGTTGTCATTCACAGATACATATGCAGAGGCCAGACTGAAGCTTCCCCTAGCCGAAAACTTAACCGATCTTCAAACACAAGATGAGGCAGAAGAGGAGTTGCCCAAAAAGTCAAAACGAAAAAAAGGTTAGTGTCTTTCTTAGTTGCACTTTACACTGAGAATTTCTCACATACACATTTTCTAAGCCACTTATCCCTCTGGGTAGCGGGGGGTGCTGGAGTCTAACCCAGCGGTCATTGGATGGAAGGTCTTTATATTGAGAATTGGTTAACTAAAATTAACTAATGCATTCCTTAGTGTGAAATTTAAATAAAAAAAAAAAGAATAAATTGACAGTTTACATATTACGTTTAAGTATATATTATAGTCTACTATGAAAATGTTATTACAGCGAGTTTAACCATTAGGAAAGATTATTGCTGTGGTCACCTGCCCTGCTCCCAGAGGGCTACCTTCTTGCAGAATTCAGCTTCAACTCCAGTTGATCACGCCTGATTCACAGAATTAATGCCTTCAGAAGGTGTTACATTTGAGTTGAAGGTGAAACCTGCAGGAAGGCAAAGCTCCAGGAGTGTTGGTGACAGCTGACTTATTCAGTTATAAGGAAGTATATGAACAAAGATGTCAATACAGCATTAAGTAAAGAAAAAGCATATTGTGTGCCCACAAGAGCAAGATTAATACTCCTAAAAAGAACAAATTTAAGGCTCTAATGTTAAATATAATTATTAAGTCATTGTCTTTGTTGCCTGTTGCTTTCAAGAAAAAATTTGTTGGCTGTCAGTCCTTAAACTGGAAATTGTAATTGGAATTAGTCATACAAGTTCATGGTCTGTGTATCTGTAAATTTCATCAAACTTTGTTTATTTCTTTCCAAGACCCAGCAGAAGACTGCTGGACAGTGATGATGAGGAACCGTCACTCAAAAAACAACTTCCATCAGCCCCCAGGATAACTCCACCGCAGTTCACAAGACGGCCGACCCCAGAGCTGAGCAGACGGCCGACCCCAGAGCTGAGCAGACCGCCGACCCCAGAGCTGAGCAGACCGCCGACCCCAGAGCTGAGCAGACAGCTGAGCAGACCGCCGACCCCAGAGGTGAGCAGACAACCAACCCCAGAGCTGAACAGATGTCTGAACTCAGGATTTAGAAGACATCCAACTCCAGAACTCAGAAGACTTCCATCCCAAGACTTCAGGACACAACTCACTCCAGAACTCAGAAGACAGCCAAATTCAGAAGTTAGAACGCAGCCAGCTCCAGAATTTAGAAGACAGACAACTTCAGAGCCCAGAGGACAGCTAACTGCAGAGCAAGCTGAAGAGATTAATAGTGGCAAGCCTCTAAATCTCTGTCAGGGATCAGGAATGCCAGTCTTGAAACGTGGGTTTCGTGTATGGTTCGTGATTTTCCAGCTCAAACACATCTGATGCAAATCATGAGCCATGTTTAGTTGAAGGGAAATCAGCAAACTGTGTTGTACTCTGACCTTCAGTTCCCCGTCTCTGATTTTATAGAACAGGGGTTCTAAACTCTTTGTGACCAGTACTCTGTAAAGTCTCAGATTTTTCCATGTCTTCACGTAACTTGATCGAGTTTGATAATTTGATTAGGAACTATAATAATTTCCCTAATCCATTAATCAGTTCGTTATGTTTTTGGTTAATCTGAAAGAGAAAAAAATCAGTTATTCACTGTCAGTAATTAAATATGTAACATTATATATACATATTTTGTGCTTTATTTAATTTCAAATGCAAATTTGAAAATGCTGCTTCAATTGGATATTTACAGTTGTCTAAGCATCAAGTTAGCTTGAAAACAAATGCAGCCATCGTCTTAATGATTATGACTCTTGTCGCTCTTATGACCCTTGACATAGTAAAAAAGAAGAAAATTGCCCATTTGCAGTTGCATTTCCGCATCATGTTTCAGCTCTGCCAAAATTTAAATTCAATTGCAGTCCTGTTTGCAATTGCATTTCACTGTCAATGAGGCACTCTTGTCAATTAAACACTGTGGCAGGTTATTGGAAGGGACTTTTTATTGCACATGTTAGAAGAAGAAGTGATGAGTCTAAACTTAGGTGGTACTGGCACAGAGCTAGATGCTTGTTTAATCATACGGAGCTAGCATTAACAAACACTTTTTGCAGGATCCTACTAACATATACTTTAACATATGCTCTGTATATCTTCCAGGTTTACTTCGTAGTGTTCTCACAAAGCAAGAGATAAACATGGATCAGCTTAGTCATCCTGAAGATGGTTCAAGATTTACAGGACATCAAGGTTGGATACTTGATGAAGGGCTACTTCCACTTAAGGATCTCAACTCTTTGCAGCATATTGAAAGTGAGGGACTGCCCAGACTTAAAAAAAAACAGTTCTTACGAAATGCTTGTTGCACTGACGTATCAGTATGTGTTTCTCAACTCCAGCACTTTGTCTTCTGTCCTGCCTGATCTACTGAAATCATTGATTGTAAACACTTTAATGAGATCCAGCTCATGTGGGTACATTACAATTTTCTCACTTTGTGTTGAACGCAGAGTGGCCAGTGAATCATTAATATGGTCAGCATGACAGGGTACTTGTTGAGTGTCTCTGCAAGAGACTCTGCATATTATATTTATCAGCAATAAGAAATAAAACTCAAAAAAGCATACAGACTTTCTGGAGTGCAAATTTAGGGATACTGTACAGTTTAGTCAAATGATTACTCCCTTCTGTGAAATATAGTCAGAACGTCTATCATTTTTTGTTGTAAGACTTTTTTCAGCACATGATGTATCGTCAGATGCTTTGGAAGCATCACTAAAGTTAAAATGAAAATGTAATATGTAAAATGCCTATGCATTCCTGTTTTTCCATTAAAAGTTTTCACTCATATTTGAAATTTGGGCTCAAAATGAAAATTGTAATTCAGTTTTACCAATTCAGTTTCCCATTTTGTATACTATTATTAACATCTAATTTGCACAGAGATTTAGATATTTTGTGAGTAGCTTTATTGAAATTTCCAGAATTTTGTAGTTATGCTTGATGTGATTTGGAGGTGAAACGATTATTCAACTTAGTCGACTAAAATCGATGACCAAATTAGTTGGCAACTAATTTAATAGTCAATTAGTTGATGTCATTACACCTCTTTCTCATGCTCACTAGGAATCTTTTGACATTACCGCTTACTGGAGAGTTGACAAAAGCGTTTTTGAGGATGTCAGCCTCAAAAACAAAATCCTCAAAAATGTGGGAGCATTTCACGCTAGACTCAGTTGTCAGTTGTGCTGTTTGTAAAGCCAACCTTACCTGGCATAAACTCAGTTGTCAGTTGTGCTATTTGTAAAGCCATCCTTAGCTGGCATAGGAACACATGCTCCATGTTGGAGTATCTGAAGAGGAAACTTGTCGGCTCACTGGGTGAAGAAGATTCATCTCTGTAAGATACACCTCTTCTTACACCGCATACTAGTTCACTAAATAGTGCGTAAAAATAGCGCATATACCATTAGAAGTGCACTCATTAGTGTAGTATGTGAAGTACAGAAGTGTGTGGTTTGGGACGCGGTGATAGTTGTGCTAGCGAGCTAGTTAGTTAATGTTAAATTCCGTCCTACTTCATGTTGTGAGCCGAGCTTTCCAGATAATGTTCACACTTTTAAACACTGCATCATCATCTTAGCGTCGAGGCCACCTGTTCGTTCAGATTCGGCAAACACAGGAGAGCGATTCCAAACAGTTTTCTGTTCTCCGCGAACATTGGCCACCACTCGCAAACAGTCTCAGAACATAGCTCTCTGTGAACATACAGGGCAGCTGGACTAAGGGTTACCGCTGAAATGAAATATTTACACAAAGTCGTTCAAATTTAACCCATTGTCTCTGCAGTGGGGAATATCTGCTCTCAGAGGAGAGCGAGACTCTCACAAGAGCAAGAAGAGATGCTGACTTTCCTCCATTTCAATAAAGACCCATGATTATAGAATTTAGTTGCAACGGAGTGTAGACAGACAGCGGAGGGCACAGAGCACAGACTGCACTGTTTAAATTTGGTTTGATTTTTTCTTATTTACTTGATTAAAGAAAAACATATTTATTTTTGTTATATTTTATTGCTGCTACTTTCCACAGTGAATTCTTGAATGTTATTCATCTTTGTCTTCATTGTTAGTTAGCATAAAACAGCATAAAATTCATAAAACAACCTCAAGCTAAATTTAAAAGCTTATAGCTACATAAGAGTTGTTTGGAAATGTAGTGATTCATAACCTGAATAACTGATTATTCGTTTCAGTAATCGTTAGATTATTCGACTATCAAATTAATCGTTTGTTGCATCCCTAATGTGGTTAGCAATACTGGTATCAAAATTACAATTAAAATCTGATTTACTTTATATGCATTTGCACTCTAATGCATTTGAAATTGCATTATCAAAGAGAGAATTGTGTTTTAATTTTCACAGATGCCTACCTGTCAATCATATCATCAAGTTGGGGCCAACAGCACGCTCAGTGGAAAGGACTTTATCTATACTGTGGTGGCCAAATTTATGCTAGAAAATGAGGTGAAACAGCAACATATTCACTTGTGATGCTTACAAGGTCTGTACACATTAAGCAAGAAGGAAGAATCTTTCATTTTAAACTTTATTATTATTATTTATTATTATTATTATTGTTAACCACAGAGATTAATCCAGTATCACAGACTATCTTATAAATTACATAGTGAGCATCAGATATGGATATAAAGCTATGGTCCACCTTGTCTGATACCAAAAATGCACTCAAAATTATTAACTTGTAATTGTACTGGTCCACACAACCGCCTTGTCATAGTATATACGTTAGGTCGGGCCTTGTTTGGGAATGTAATGTTAGAGCTAACAATGGCTTTTAGCCAGCTTAGTTCAAAAGCCCTCCACAATATACTTAGCATTTAAACAGGCGAGGTGATGGCAGAGCAGTATATCCACATCTGATGCAAACTTTGTAGAAAATTTCTCTACATGGCATCTACTGGAATAGTGGGCCTATACATTCCCCCTTTCATCCATCACTTTTTTTTTTTTTAATTTCTGTTCCACCTTAGATGGTGCAGCAGTTACATTCTGGTGCCTAAATGCATATAAAAGTTACTGGTGCACTGTTAAGGTGGAACAGACACTTAAAATAAAAAGCTAACTTAAGCTGATGATTCAGTCAATGAATTAGCAACAATTTAAACTAATAAACCAAGTAACTTGGCCATTAAACACTTTTTTAACAGGTCATGTATGAAGATATAGTAAGCAACACCAGTGGATATATTGCTCTGCTTCGCCTCATCTGCTAATGAAAAAATAGCTGCAAACTCTTGGCCATGCTTCATGTAAAGCCCTTGATGCTGAGCGTGCTGTTGTCCTGATTGTTCTTCACCTGGTTGACAGGTGAAAATCTATGAAAATGCAATCTGGTCTAAAGCATTAGAATCTTTCTTATTTTAAATTGAGCACAGAAGATGAGAAAATGTAAGGGCAAAGAGGAGAGGTGCTTGTTCCTTTTTTACATTTAAATTTTGATATCTTTCTAGCTTGGTGTTCTCTTTGATGCAATTTCAAGTGCATTATTTGAGAGGGCAAAAAAAGAGTAAAGTAAATCACGTTTTGCTTCAGTTTTTATTCATGGAAATCCATGGACAATGAGTCAATGACTCGAGTGTCCTCTCATTTCCCTGGTTTAATGAACAGAAAACCAGTAATCACCTGGTCAGTCATAAAATTGTATGCATTTTACACAAACTAGAGGAACCGCAAACAAAATTACAATCCAAATATGATATTTTGTTCTTATCTCAGAAGTTCTTTTTCTTACTTGGGGAGGTTGGTGTGCATGTAATGATATTACTTATGTAGCCTATTTCATGAATGAAACAGGGGGCGTTTTACCCCTGGTATACCCTGGTTTTCCAGACATGGGGTGGATACATGTGGTTTGTAATAGAACCAGGAAGATCCGTTCTTGAAGTTGATTCCTTTATTTGGTTTAATGAGAATTACTTTCTGTTTGTATTCACAGATCACTACTTTAGGACTCCAGGGTGGTTTTGATGTGAAAGTTTGGAGAGTCATGAGATGCACAGTGACCAACTTATTGGCAGTTAACTGGAGGGGCATAAATGGAAAGGCGGGGTTTCAAAACTTGCTTCTAAAAGAAGTAATCATAGATATGTTACTTTCTTCTGATTTTGTGGGTTATGCATATTTGATTGAAAATGTGTAAATGCTGTTTTTTGCTGCAGGTATTTAGAAGTGAAATTTATCAGCTTTGTTCTACCCAGTGTTGTTTAAGCTTTTTTTCCTTTAGCTGATTGTATGACTTTTCAATCCAATTAAGGAAATTTAAGGGCCTTAGAAATGCTTTGTAATGGCCCGATTGTTTTACGTGTGGTTGAGTTCTGGGTTATTTCTGGCAGTGGAGGTTTAAAGGTGGCTGAGATGCAGCCCTCCCATGATGATACAGTGGCTGTACTGGCATCTGTATCTGTCCCTCTTCTTTGCTATCATTCTATGCAATGTTAATCCCAGATGGTACTCTGCTTTACCAATATTCGTGTAAGTTAATTAGATAATTGTACAGTACAATTGTACATTTTAATTGGGCTATGCCAGTTACAGCAGTTTCTACATGAATCTTCCAAATGTGAAAAGTTGTTATCTAAACTATATTTGAGATAATATAAAAGTTGGATTGTTATTTTTAGGTGCTGTAAGACACAACAGGGGAACATCAAAAGCCACAGCTCAAGAAATTGAGATGTGGATAAAGAGATGGCTACACCTGTCCATGGACCGTGAGGGAGGAAGGCGAGAAAGACAAGAACGGAGAAGAGCCAGGCTAGGAAACCAGCATCTCATGTTAATATTTAAAGCGGACCACCGCTTTGAACATTTTTAGTTGTTCCCCTCAAAACCATTTGGACTTTGGATATGTTTTGCTGACCATTGCTGTTCTCATTTGGAAATGGAAAACTAGTTCTTGTTTTTATAATGACAAGATGCATGCAAACAATTGATCTTAATGCAAGTCATTTATTCATGTGCACGTTAAAGGGGAATTCCACCAATTTCAATGAATTTAAAAACTTTTAAGATTAATTCATTAATTACATTTTCTGAAGCATTAAGTTCTTGACATGTAAAGTCATTCAGAGTGGTTTGATATGAAATATTTGATTACAGAGAAACTTACTGACTGATTTCTTTACAGTAGTGATGATAGGAACCAGGGGTCACAACACAAATATAGATATTTTATTTACTACCCAAAACCACCAGTAAATCTACTTAGTTTTATGTGTAACATTGATGATGGTAAAATAGTCATGAATCTGAAAAATAAGCTTTTTTTGTGACAATTTGCCTTACAATACCCTTCCTTCCTCCATGAACTGATTAAATGAATAAAATGTTAAATGAATGAAAAATGTTTTAGACCAAAAATTGTATCAAAAACTACCATGAAACAGTGTCTCAGTCATCAGGCAGTGTAGTCGTAGCCATTTCATGTAGTAACTTTCTGTGAGGGAGCCTTTAGAGGTGGACGTCTGGTTCCTATCACCACCACTGTGAACAATTCTGACTCGGTAAGTTTCTCGGAGCATTTCATACCAAACCACTCTGAATGACTGCTTACATCTTAACGCCATGATTATGCATTAAATTGTGCCTCTCAACCGTTTAATTATGCAGGAAATTGGTGGAGTTCCCCTTTAAGTTGGTTGTATATGTAATATTGTACTGTGTCTAATTAGCACTATATTGATTTGTGTTCTTGCATTGAGACCCTTACATTTCATTCATGTTTATTTGTGCAAACAGTGTTTCATTTTATATGGATGTTTAAATATTGAAATTATTATTAAAATAAAGTGAGACATTTAAATGTTTGTTGTATTGATATATTGATGGAAAACATGATTAAAGGATGATTATTAATCACAGGGGTTAAGTTAATTAATGGGATTGGGAGGGGCATCAGTAAAATTTGGATCTGGGCCACATATGGCAGGGTAACAGCCCAGTTGTTTTACATGTGGTTGAGTTGTGGGTCATTTCTGGCCCTGGTGGTTTAAAGATGCGGCCCTTTTATAGCTATAAACTGGCTGAGTTCTGGCAACCGCATTTGGCCCTCATTTGTGCCATCATTCCATGCGGTGTGTGGGCCGCAAGTAAGTGCCGGACGTTTGCTATCTGGGAAAGGTTGAGAACCCCTATTCTAAAGAAAGCAGGTTGGACAAAGTAGTTGAGTCCCGTGTCGTGTGATGGGATTTGTCTGTGGTATGAACTACTAGCCAATCCCAGTGCAGGGAGACAGAACTGTCTGAAAACAGGTGGGAAAACAAAACAAAACCATGAACGGCAGGTTCTCTGATACTTAAGAGCTCGCCCAGGGAAAGTAAAGCCTAAAGTCGTTCTTGATGTTGTTTAAATCAGCGAAAGTGCATATGAACTCGTTACTGCACATTTGTTACCATTTCAAACTGTCTGTGTTAATTTGCCACTGAATTTTCTTAATCTGAGGCAATGCCTTCCTGAATGACTGTGAAATGAAGTTGCTTGTATGTAATGTAAGCAGCTATTGCTAGAGGACCCAGCTGTACTTAGGCCCACATCTTTACACACTGAGCTTCCTGTTTCTTTACTTGAGAGTAGGTCAGCGTTGCCCATGTTACCAGCCACATTTGACCACTGGCAAATGGCATGACTCATTATTTTGTTAAGTAATGCCCAAGAAGTTTCATGACAGACCTATCATATCATGAAGATAACTGTCCTCATAAGCAGGTACTTCAGATGAACAAGTAAAGGAAGCTTATACTCCACCAATTAGCATGGGTCAACAGGAATGCCTAAATTGCCACAGGTACACTTGCTGGGAAGTTCAAACTTCCACAAAGCTTAAATTAAAAAGCAAACATTAATTTTTTGTCTGTACTTTTGCCCATTTTTATAGATAACAGTCTTACAGTGTCAGAAAACACAAAAGCAAGTCTATTTGAGATTACTTACTGTGTGTGATGGTTTTGGCATGCAGTTAGCAAAATGCTAACTGGTGAACCTAGACCTCCATAGTTTACATATGGGTTAAGGGTGTACTGTAAATTACATTTTTCACTGAACCATCATTTTAAGCAATTTCTAGTTATGTAGTTTATTGCTCACATTATTTGGGACAGCTTCACTATTTAACTATTTATCCCTATATAGGGATATGACAGTCTTAAACTATATATGTCTGGTCATTTCTTATTAACCCTTATACATGAAAAACATGATTGCGAAATGCTAAAGGGCCCGCGCAAGTGAGTCCTTAACGAATTGGAGTGAAAGGAGCTAAATAGATAAAATCATAAAATTAAACTATTTCTAACCATTCATGCTAGAACCTCCAGAAATACCTTTTCATTTTTCTACAGCAAGCACGTTTTGCATAGTAGTATATTAGCATTATGGCTGCTGAGTGCTGATTGGTCAGTAAGCTAATGAGCTCACTGGCTGAAATTTTATAAATATTTTAGGCTATTCTGTGTTGAGAGAACAATAAAAAGTATTAGCCATTTATAAACTGCAGTTTTGCACAAAAGTGCCACAGGAAGCCATTCCCTCTGGACTCTCTAAGGATTGCCCTCAACTTAGAAGAGATTACGGAGTGGTAGTTCTATCTAGAACTTTCCTAGAAGAACTTCTGGTCTTCCTCCCTAGCTATAGTTATTTCTTAACTACATTTTATTACTTTATAAATACTTTTATGAATTACATGATGACAGCAAAAACCATCAAACTACTGATACTGTCATAATCTGTCCCATCCCTAATGGAGCTTTTCCTAAAATAAGAGCCTTTCATGACAGACTGGAAAAAAACTGTCCAGCTTTAAAGTTTTTGTTACAAGGATACTATTTAAGTAAACAACATTGATTAATGGGACACAGTCTGCAAAGAACAAGACGGATTTCCTGCTTAATCAAAATTTAGCTAGCTGCCCTTACGTTACAATGCAAATGCTCCAGAATTACACTGAATAAAGGCAATGACAATAACTCACACTGAAATCTGAGAATTTTTTTAAAATTTGTCCTGGAAACTTACCAATTTGGAGATATAAGATTTTGTTCAAACAGTAATGAAATATGGTATAAACACAGTTTAATAAAAAAAAACAATCATCAATCATAATCACAATCATAATCATAAATCAAATTATGATGAAATTTAACATTTCATAATGCATTGTTTTCTAAAGAATTGTTGTAAATTCAGAGATGCATACTCCTGATTGACAGATCAATTAAACTGAAAGTTGCACAATTAAACCTAGGGATGCATCACACTGATACTGGTATCGGGTATCGGGCCAAAATTGTGCTCATTCACTTGTACTTATAAAAATTCATCTGATTCCCACTGTGTAAGCCAAGTATAGCTGTTGCGCTAATGAGTGAAGGAGGCTCTGTTTACACAGTGAAGTGTTATTGACTTCATGAAAGTCTCACACAAACTGTCAACCATTTCAAACATTCAGCCCTGGCAGATTCTTGCCAGGAACGCACTGTGTAATTTTAGCCCGTTCTAAACACAAACACAATCACAACTGCTTCTGTGGAGACACACAGGTCAACTAAACCGAGTAGAAAAAAGTCGACATTTGCTATCAAAGTACCTCTGTGCCAACTTTACTTTGTTTGACTGAATATAATAGCAAGGTATAAATGTTAATACGGTGATTGTCTTTTGTAAAATAGGCTGTAGAAAGCCAGTAGGAAGGCTGTATTGTTCTTCAGTGTACATCACCGCCTGCTTTTAACTTTAGTTCGCAGTGTTAGGTGAGCTGCTCAGTTTCTCTAAGCTCAGTACTCAGTTGGCAGCATGTTGTTTTGAATGAAACAGCTATATCTTAAACTGTTTGTAGACAGAGCTGTCTGTAAAGGCTGCGTTTCGCATACAAATCTTAGGCTTTGTCTGTACATGATGGTCTATTCAAATGTACAGTTTAAGTCACCAAAGAACAAGATTTCTAAAATCGCACAGTGTATATCTGACCTTAGAGGACATTCAGCTACAGCTCAACCAGCCAAACAAAATACTCAGAACAAGACGTAAAACACGCAGCGCAAATTCATCGGATGCTTTAGCCTCGGATGTGATTCCTGCTGTCGCTGTGCTACGGAGACTGTTGTTGAAAGAGAGAGGCAAGGAGCAAAACTATGACTTGTACCTACAGCGGTACAGAAGTGCTTTTTTGCCCACTCTTCTCCACTGCAACATTACTCAATCCCAGGTAGGACTAATGCAGCATAGCTAGCTAATGCATTTTATTTAAAATCAGCAACATTTTAATGATATAATTATCATTATTTTATATATTTCATTTACACTAACAACTACTTAATTCTACAAAGGTTACTCAGTATGGTATCGGGCTTGGCATCGGTGAGTAATAAGAATATGTAGCCTACTTGTGCTTGTACGGTCTGAAAAAAATGTTATCAATGCATCCCTAATGAAAACAGTATGGACTTTCACACAGTGGCATTCAATGAAAGCTTAGGCTTATGTTTGGCTCAGATTTTATTTCTGCAATACAACTAGCCAGTACACATGGCAAAATTTTGAGAGGTGGGAGGGCACAATGTAATGCTCCTTTAAGTTTTTTTTTTTTCTTGTGATTAAAGTTACAGATAAAGTAATGAAGTATTAGAACAGTTTGATGAGACTGAAAGACATAAAGAAGAATTGCCCTTTCTGCTGAACAAAATATCAGTGTTTGTAAATCAAAAATCATACAATGTATACCATATACCATGTCTGAAAATGACAGATTTTCTCTCATATTGTAGCTGAAATCATTATTAAAATACTAAATTTGCTCTCAAACATAGATATTGGTCAAAAATCATCTTAAATTTGGTCAATACATCAAATACATTCTCATTTTAAGATTTGTGATAATAAGATTATCACACTTATTTCGAGATGCCTTATTCTAGATTTAAGTCATTTCATCTAGTGAAATTGTTGTATTCCATTGGCAGAGAACTTTGGTTGTTTAAAACATTTCTTGAAATAAGAAAATGTGCCAGTAAAATAATTGACTAGATAGACTTAAAACAAGTAAACATGTCTAGAAATAAGTTAAAGCTCATAACATTCTTATAACAATCTTAAAAAAAAAACAAAATATTAAATATTTTGACTATATTTAAGATAATTTGCCAAAATATAATTAATGTTTTTGCTTAAATGTCCAAAATTGAATCCAGGTTACCATGTTTCTGTAAAAAAAACTCCTTTGCAAAGAAATTGCCAGTAAAAATCTGTCTCCTCACCCCAGTTTTGTCTGTTACAGCACACACAGTCAAACCTGAACAAGTGAGTGCTGGAATTCCATTACCTTAGCCTCTTTGTATGTAATTAAAAATGAAAGTTGCAGAAAAATGTTGCACTGTGTGTGAGAGAAATGAAAGATTGAAGCCTGGAGCACAAGCATTTTCGCATGTGCCCCTGACTAACCTGTTTCAACCCCTCATTTAAATAAGGCCAGCATACTGTGTGAAAGGTAAAGTGATGAAACAGCACCTGGATCAGATTCCTGGCTCTGTAACTGAGAGTGTGCACTGATATACTAAAGCTTGGAATCACATTTCACAGAAATAATTATTCAGTTATTTAGTTTGGGAAGAAAAGGATGTAAATTCTATTTATGTCAGAAAAATAAAGTCAATATTATATATGAAAAAACACTTTGGTCTGAAGTGATGCAATTTTGTAGTTACGCTGTATATGTATTTTCATAATTTATTCACTATTTTTTAGTTTGATTTTTTTGATTCTCTATTGTTTTGTTAAGACTATTCCCATGCCATCAAAATTTAATTTATCCATATGTCTTGCTTGATTTGAAAAATTTCTTCAGATTTGTGCTTAGGAAAGACAGAATAGACCAAAAAAAAAGCAAAATTTCAGTTTCAGATATTAATAAGGTAAGTGATTATTGATACACTGTAATTGTCTAATTATAGGATTATTTCCTAATTTGGTATTATAACACAAGATATCGATTATTTTCTATAAGTTAAGGTCCAGGCCTTTTATTTGACCAAGTAGACCAGAAAATCTCTTTTTCTGCCTTCAGGCTTGAGCACTAAATGTACTGTGCCCAGCATCCAGTTAATTGTGGCTGTCTTGTAATGTATGCATCAAGTGTGTTTGGTTGCTTCTGATTGGTGTAACTCATCAAGTGTGTGTCTGTGTGTCTGTCTCAGTGACTGGCTAAATATAGTTTCCTTTCTTGGGTCTGAAGTAAAGTTTCTTGGTCAGCATGGAGGCAAAGCAGGGCACCTGTTTCTTGCCAATGGCAGAGCGGTCACTGCAGTTTCCCACGCTGCGTTGGGACACTTTGCGATTGACAAGCGTCAGAAGCTCAGTGAACTCCAGTGCAGAGCCATACTGATGCAAAATCTCACACAGATCCTGGATGTACCAGGAGCCATTCACTGTCTCCCTGTGTGAGTAGAATCCTGCTTGAGGAGAAACACAGTGGAACACCACATTTGCTACAAATTACCAACAAACATTTCTTATGAAACACATACATTACCGTTCAAAAGAGTGGAATCCATGTTTTCAATAACAGAAAACAAATTTGGCTGCAGATAAATGTATAAAAGGATAGGACTGGAATGATGAGCAATTATTGTGATTATTCTTAATGAAAAATTACATTATTTATTTACTTTGTTTTTTTTTATATAAAAGCAAAAACGTACTCAACGCTGTGTGTTACAGTGATTTTACCATGATTTAGGGGGTTTCATAATTTGTTGGGCCCAACAACACCCCTTAACTGTGTTAACAGAAATGCTACAAAGCACAGCCTACAGTGGAATATTACTTTAATTTTATGCCTTAAACTCTAAACTCTGTATGTGAGTCCACACTTCAGTTCCTTGCTCTCATAACTATAGAACTATAGAGCATTTGTTTCATAGTAATTACTTAATTAAACTGGACTAGCACAATGAATTCAATTTTTCATTCAGCTGAAACTAAAGTTTGTTTTATATTATTAAAAATATTGATCCCAAACTTTTGAACATTGATTCCACCTGTTTTAACAGCACACTCATAACAATAAATGCTTGTAAATGGTTTTAGGCTTGGACACACAGGTCTGGGCAAAAGGATTAGCTGGTATAAAATCTTTATTATGAGGAGCTGTTTTAAACTTTAATAAGGTTTGTCACAATCACACATCTCATTTACAAATAGGGTTCTAATATTACTATAACTATAGAACTTGCACACAGATCCTGTCTACAAATTACAGTAGAGTAAGGGCCCATTTTTCTGTATTTTTCTTGTATTTTACTTTCCCACTTATCACTTAGGAAATGTATGTAGTTTTATGTCATAATTAAAAAAACAGTCATAATTCATTGTTCATATGACTATTTTCCAACCTCTTTGAAAATGAAACAGCTCCGTTTTTGTTACTGTGCCTGATTTATGACTGATTTATGTAAACGGCTTCTGTTCTGATTCACTCGTTCCAAAAACCGTCCAGATGACACACTCCATATCACTTCAACTTGAATGGGAAAAGCTAAACTGCTGTAGGCTGAATAGGTGAATATACACAAATGTGTTTTTGCAACATCATAAAAACAATGAATTCAAAATAGGCTGCTGTTTTTGTATATATGGACTGGGGTATGAACGGCACATGCTACATCAAACTATTATTTTAAGAAAGCAAGTAAAAATTTGTTTTCCCCTTTAAGAGTTTACAAAAGTTAAAGCTTAGGTTCGTTTTTTGTTTTATTAAGGGATTACTTTACTTAAGATGTTTTATGGACCCCAGCACTGATGTGTCAGTGCATTAAATTGTGCATTACTTTGTCTCCAGCATTGGAGTAGGACCTGCATGATGTTAAGTGTGAACCTGATGTAGCGAGTAATAAACTGAATTGGGTTTTCTACTCACCCTCAGCTACAGAATAGCACATGATGAAGTCAGCACCCGCAGGCAGTGTGTACACCACCCCAGCATCCACAACAACCTCATTGATCTCACTATCCACCACATCCATTGGAGTGACCGGGTCATCGTGTTTGTCCCCACGACATGCCTGCCATTTACAAATTTCAATTTATATACACTACAAAATTACACGCAGTACTGTGCAAAAGTCATCTGAGAAAATGCCTGTAATGCTATTTATCTGAACAGTATTTATTTCTTCATAAAACACTGACATTAGAATAAACACCCCAAATAAACAATACATTATGATTTGACGTGTTTGAGTGTGCTATCTTAACCATTTCCAAATCTCTCCTCCAGGAAATCCAGCATTTACAGTTACCACCCAATACCCAATTTATCTAATCAATTCTTCATTAAATGAAATCAGGTGCTGCTGATGAAATTTAACAAATCCATGCAATGACTGAAGTGCACAGAGAAGACAAGATCAAAACCTGTGGTCTTCTAACTGTATTCTTCTAATGAACGTCTTAATGGCTTTTTAAAAAACAAAAACAATCTTATGTTTATTAGGTTAAACAAGTCAGTATGCATTCTTCTGCATACACAATTTCTTAAATCATGATCACAATTTTCTAATTCGTTCTCTCGTTTTCTTTTAATCGTGGTCATGTTTTGTTTTTAACTGAAGGCATGTTGTTTATTTTATTGATTCGTGTGCAGACAAAATCAATGTAGTAGATAGAGGTTGTGTTATTTGTCCTGTGCCGAAGGAACTAACAGCTCCCTGAGACTGTCTGAAAGGTTTTGATTTGTTAGATTGATAAGATAATGGACAGAGATGCTCATCAGGTCTGATTTTAATTTGGAGGGGTTATGAGGACCCTATTGATCCTCTTCACAGCAAACGGCCCACAGATTCATCAGTGCAGCTGCAGTTTGGTGGAGAAATGAAGGAGGACAATAAACTAAACTGCACTTTCTAATGATTATATAGACGATATAGACGCATCACGGCCGCGTAGCCCTGTTTCTGGTCCCGTGTCCAGAAATGATCAGCGTCAATTTGTTGCAACAAACTCAAATTAAACACACACACAGAAACATTAATATGGGATGATGTCAAATAGCAAGAGAGTCTAATAGATCTATGGATTAGATGTAGATATATTAATGTGAGGATGTTGAAACGCTAATCATTTCTTCCTGTAATTGTGTGATATTCTCTAACGCTTGAAGCGGTAGCAGAAACAGGGCTAAGCAGCCGCACTGCATCTACATCTCTGTTAAATATAATCATTAGAAAGTGCAGTTTAGTGAAGATTGTGATTGTTTATTGTCTTCCTTCATTCCTCCACCAAACTGCAGCTGCACTGATGAATCTGTGGGCCCTTTGCAGTGAAGAGGTGCTACAGTGCCCTCATAACTCCTCAAATCAAAATCAAACGTAATGAGCATCTCTGTTCTTTATCTCATCAATCTAACGCATCAAACCCATCAGATAGTCTTAGGGAGCTGTTAGTGGCCTGTATCTACTATGTTTATTTTGTTTGCGCATGAATCAAAAAAACAAACAATGTGCGTTGAGTTAAAAATAAAACAATACCACGATTAAAAGAAATTTTAATTAGAAAATCGTGATCACGAATTAAAAAAAACATACCCATGAAGTAAAGAAAACATGCGCACAATTAAAATTAAAAAAAGGGAACGAATGAAGAAATCGTGACCACGATTAAAAAAAAGCGTATATACGAACTGCAAAACATTTTTTTACCTCCATCCCCTCTGGGGCTCCATAACAGCGAGAGCATAGGATTAAAATAAAAACTAGTTCAGCTCTAAAACTAGCACAGCCAACTAAAAACAACTGCTAGTTTGAATTGAATTTAGTCGACAACAGAAACCAAAATGACTGAGCTGAACACAGTTTACAGAAAAGCCAGCAAAATAATGGTAAATGTACAAAGCTCCTTATTTAAATTATCCAGCTTCTTGTTGAAATTTGTCGTTCCACCTTAAATGGCGCAGCAGTTACGTTCCGGCGCCTGACTGCTGCACCATTTAAAGTGGAACGACAAATTTCAACAAGAAGCTGGCGAACAACAAAGGCAGCTCCAGCCTTGTGATGAATGTTGCTCTTGTTTTACCTGCAGAAGCTGTTAAAATCGGTCAAAGTTTCAGTGCTGCGCATTGATGTTGTTCACTTGTTTCCAGCTTATGGAGGTGAATTTGAACTGTAACGCTTCTCTTGTCTTCCAAAATAAAATACACCAAGCATAGGCACAGTGACAGACATCTGACGATGTTGCTGTATATCAAACTTGTGGCAGGAAACAAATCCATTCACATGGAAGGGAACCAACAGTGTAGCAGTATGCAGTCAGATGCCTCTCCACATTTTTTCCATGTTGGGTTTTGAGTCTTTTAGATTCGAAAGGCTGAAATCTAAGGCTACGTTTAAACAGCAGGTAAAAGTGGCCTAAATCTGATTTTCTCACCAAATCTGATTTTTTTGTTTGACTGTTCACATTATCTTTTAAATGTGATCTGTATGCGACATCAGTCTGAACAGATCAGCTCCTTAAAGCGCAAAAAAACAATGCTTCACATGGCTCGTCCAGAGGTAAACAATCATGACAACTAGCGAATGCCAGTCGCTCCCGGAGGTTTCAGTTTCATCTTCGCCAGCATCACATGAGCGATTATGAGGTTCCAGTGGTTGACAGCTGGGCTCATCACCCACAGTGTGTTCGAGTTTGCCGTAAAAAGGGCATGTTATTCGGCCACGGCCACTTCTTTGGTTCGTGTCCTCGGATTCTTTAAACTTTTTTTTGACGCTGCAGCCTCAGTCTCCTCCGGCTACGTTCGGCAGTTTCATTCGAAAGCTCTTTGAGCACATAGTGGTTGCGATACGTCTTTTCTAATGTTTTTTTGTACAGAAACATCAGCCTAAATGTTTATGAGTCTCAGCAGCATGAAATTATGACCAATGTTGACTGACGTAAAAGTCGCATGAATTGCGATCTGGCTGTTCAGACTGAGTCGCATTACCGCAGATTAGATACGTATCGGATTTCAGTACCACATATGAAAGCATCTCAAATCGGAATTGAAAATGTCAGATTCAGTGCGTTTTTTGCTGTTCACACTGCCATACAGATGACACATCTGTGTCACATATGAAGAAAAAGATCGGATTTGGGTCACTTTTACCTGCTGTATAAACGTAGCCAAACCCATTTTGGCTCCTTAACCAAAATTTTTTGAAACAAATTTTTTTTTTCCCAATTCTTTGGCTGAAGAAAATCTACTTGGCAACTTGGATCTTTTAGCTTCACCCACTTAGATTTTTTGCTAATTTGCATAATATATGAAACCTACTTTTTGTGAATTAGCCCTAGGTTTTTTTTTTTAATCTTATTCTCTTAATAATCTTAGTCTATAGTAGATTCTGAGGTAGTATCAATTTTGGGGCATGTACAGCTTTAGGGGATGCTGTAACTGCTAAATAACTGTTTCTAAGCATCCATATATCTGATCAAGCTGAAATTTTCTAAGCAGCATCTTTTACACAGAATTTCTAAGGACAACTTTAAACACTTGTATACATTGAGACTCTGATGAGGTGTGCAAATGTTGGTCCAAATTAGCCTTAAGGGGCACTTTGGCATTCATTAAAAATGCTATTACAGTGTTATTATGAAATCTACTGATAAAGAATTGGAGCCATGTGATCCAGGTCTCTGGCCTAAATGTCTTTGCAATTACATTATAGAACTGGACTCCTTGTCTGGTATTTTGATTAATTCATTCAAAGACTACAGCTTATTACATAAAAAGTTCAAAAGGTCAATCTGAACAAAACTCCTAATCAAAAGACCCTAATCAATAATCATAACAAATGGAGACTTTTTGACAAATTCTGACTCACTTTCTCTTAGCTCCTCTATGCCACAAAGACCCCTCATGGGTACATTGGGCCTTATTATGGCATGCATATCAAAGGCTTAAACTTTGAAAACCAAAGCACTTTACAAATACAACTATTTCAGAAATTTTACCATTAGTCATGTATTTTTGATATCTATGGTAACAATCTGTAGTATCTTCTACAAAGCTATAAATCAGTACATATGAAATTAAGCATGTACCCTGTTTAAAAACCACTGCTCAATAATTATTCCAAAAAAAAGGCCTTTTGATAAACTTTGATTGCCTTGCATTTTTCAACCTCTCTTTGTAAATAAAGCCCAAAGTGCATTAGACCTCGTTAGACCTAATTGGCCCAAAATGCATAAGGCCTCATTTTGCTGATTCATGCTGACTGCCGCTTGTAACTATATTTAGGGGTCCAAGCATTGCTTTTGCAAGGATTTTTCTTCTTCTTTTTCTTCCCTAAAACTGATTGGGGAGTAGACACCATAAGTCATCCAAACACCAAAATTGAAGGGTAGGTGAAGTATCCATACCACTACTCAGGCAAGTGAAATGGCCCCAGTTGGCCAGATGAGGCCTACAGTCAAAATCTGGCTTCTTCATAATCTTTGTTTAATTCTACGTAAATGCCTCCATGGAACTATTGAGTTCCACCCTGGAAACATTTTGAGATCATTGGCAAAATATGTGAAATCAACATTTTTCTACTAGTCTGAGGTTTTTCATGATATACACCCAATGTTTGTCTTAAAATGTTCGAGGGAATCTGGAGGTCAAGAATTATAAAAAAAAATAATATTTGTAACACAAAAGGATAAGTAATAAAGAATGTTTTTTACAGTCTGTTTTGTTCATGTTTACCAGGGGTGCAAATATTTGTGGAGTTCACTGTATAATTCAATATGCATTATATACAATTCAAAATTATATTGTATAAATAAAGTAATAGTTTGGTAAGTCTCTAATTATACATTATTTGTAGTCAATAGCATGCCGTTTGATATAGGCATGCTGTCTGCACAATGCTTACTGATGAGGAATAAGCTTCCATAACCTGTCGGCTACATTAGCCTTGAAGCTCCAGCGCAAAGCCAAAGAAGCCAAGTTCATACATTGAAAATGTCTGCACTGATCAACTACATTTAGGGTAAAGAGGGAACACGGTGTAAACTTGATTTGCTAATCTATCACTTTAAACAGTTTTATGCAAAATTTTACTCACATTATTTAGAACAGATGGTGAAAATTTATTGATTTTATCTAGGAAAATTGTCTAAATTCAACAGTGTAACTAACTAAATCTCAGTTGATTTGTACTTTCTCCCCAAGAATGAAACTGTCAAATAACAAGATGCTTTTTTTCCAGAGTGGAAGATGAGTCACCTGTAAGATGAATATTTTGGGTTTTCCTATGAGGCTTGGACACTTGTCTCCTCTGAAAAGTGCCGTGATATCCTGGATGTGAATCTTTGCATCGTAGGCATAGACATGGCCATTTTCACCGTGGCTCAGGAAAATGCAGACAAAGCAGTCTGCATCCATGTGATTACGACCTGCAGCTGTGATCAAAGGTTGAAAGCAAAACTAAATTAAACAAAGCTCCAATAAAAATGCTGTGGCTTTCTAGGTATTAGTTTGCATTAAAAGATTGTGTAACATCTGCTTACCTTCAGTGATTATTTTCAGAATTTCATCTTTATTGTAATCATCGTAAACTTTCACATCAAATCCCAAGCTAATAAACCTGAAAAAAATCATGGTTGGCTATTTAAAGCTACTGTATTACATGTGCAAGTTATGAACACCAAATGCATACTTTAGACATATCTGCACTAGGATGTTAGTTTAGGATGCTAAGGTGATGCACTGAAAAAACTGTGTATTGACTTTATATGATATAAAGTGTCAGTTGGTTTCACATGAATGAAATATCAACATCTACATAATAGCCGTCTTGCAGTTACCTCTTTTGGCAAGAATTGTGTTGATCTAACACATTTAATTCACGTGAAACCGACTGAAACGTGAAAGATGAAAAGTCATGTCAATTCCAAGCACAATTCTTTTTGGGTCAACTGGTTAATAAATGTTAAGTCTAGTATGAATAATGAGTGAATAATATTAAACTAATGCATAGTAATTTTATCATTTCATTGTTGAAACATCCTACGTGCTAAAAAATGACATAAAACAAAGATCTACATTATCTACAATAGATAACTCAATAAGGCTGAGAACTATTATGAAGTGTGCTTTGTTGTGATCTGTATATACACCTCTTTTTAAGATTTTCTTTGTCTGCGGTTGTCCCAGAACGACTGTTCAACATTAGCTGCCAGTAGAAGCGCTCCTGGTTGAATATGAGTGCTAGGCCTCGGTTCTTGTGGTCCATGTTGTATTCCTCAGCAGGATTGAGGCTGAAAGCACTAGAAAAAAATTAAGCATAGTAATTTTTAAAGAAGAATTATCAGACTGACATTGATACTTAAGGTTTCCATATTGTTACTGGAAAAGAAAAAGTGGTGTTGTTTCATCTATAGTAAAATTATTGTTAAAAAATCTTGCTATTTTAGCCCATAATAAAGCAAATCTTTTGCCAGAATCTTACCTTCTGAACACTGCATCTGTCTCTGTAAGGTTTTGTGTCTGGCCTGGAACAAACAAACAAAATTTGCATGCACATGTGCTACAGCTGAAATATCTATTCAAGTGTTAAGTCATTACAGCCCAGAAATCATACAGAACAGTCTCCGCAGATAACAGCACTTCACTGAACAGCAGATTGGAGGTAACTTGCAGCCACAACAGGACCACAACAGCATTGAGGACTACTGTTGCACAGAGATCACTTATTCAATGCACACATACCAAGGTCAAGCCTCTATTGGCCTCTACTGTCTTTTTGATACCTGGTTGTATGGGTTTCAGTGGCTTTGCAGATATGCAGTGAAAAACAGCAGGATCACTGTGCTGTTATTTAATCGTAATGTTTCAGCTTCTCAATGTTGGGCTTTTTGTGAAAAGCACTTTGAGATTTTGTATTTACAATGAAAAGTTTTATATAAATAAGGTGTATTATTATTATTATTATTATTATTATTATTATTATTATTATTGAGATGGCATGATACCACTTTTTCTTTTTCCATACTGATATTGAAACCTTGAATACTGGTCGATACTAACAAAACCAATCTGATATTTCATTTTTAATAACTACTACGCTTTTAAATGTGCTATTTTTAAATGAAGCACCCATTTTTTTACTGATGTCCAAAAAGCTTTTTCCACTGATATATCATATATCAATATGCCACTAATTATTATTATTATTATTATTATTATTATTACTATTATTATAACTAAGTTTAAGGTTTCCAGACTCTCTTTTCATACAGAGATATTGTGAGAGAAGTGTACAGAGATCAAATGCTGTTCAGAAACCTGTTTTCAGCAAAATAGTAACAAGACTGTAACAAGCCTGTAACAAGACTGACAAAAAGCAGAACGTAAATGTCAGGAGAAAAATACTGCAGGGCTACAACATTAATACTATATTATATAATTAAGTATTTATTTGTTTATGAATATGAAAGTGGCCTCTAAAGTGCAAGGCAGCATTTACAAGATTTTAGTGAAACCAACCTGAAGTAGTATGTCGTGTTGAGTCACTGTCCTTCTCAACGTGGCCTGAAAAAAACAATCCCAACACTAAAATAATAACAAGTCTCATTGCAAGTAAGGCAACCCGTCATGTTAAGCTAACAGCTAGAGGTGCTTTTCTGAAAGCAGTGCTCTGAGAGACTTAGACTAAACTTAAAATAATGTATCAACCCTTTTCAACGCGGCTGATCAAATGTATCCTCACTATGCAACGTCCAGTAATACATAAGTACTAACATGAAGTGATACAAAATGACTCATGTCAGGACACCAATCATAAAGTCAAGTCTTCAGAGAGGCTACAAGGAAGAATTTTATAAAACAAAACGTATCCCCATTTTAAAGCTGAGCATACAGAAGCAATATCAACAGAGTTCAATTTGACTTATACATAGATAAAAACAGTGAAGTTACAGTCTTACTTGAAACGTTTTCCTTTCCGTGGCTTGCCATTATGGTCAATGTCTGATGAACGAAGCCAAAAGAAATATTAATCGTCGAAAAATTTACTCACGCAAAAACTCAAACGTAGTGTTTTGATTGGTTAAAGACGAACGTGCTAAATCCTGATTGGATGGTGAGACTGCCAATAAAGTCACGTACTAACTTCCGTACTAAAGCTCCGCATTACATTTCAGGAACCGCCCCCTCCGCCCTGTGGTTGGCTAGCAGTCTCAGTTTTGAAGCTGTGAATAATAGGGTGTTTTTTGCCGTATTATCCTTGCATGTTATTTTTACTTTTTCTTTTCATTTTATTTATTTTTGGCAAACATCAGTCATTTAAATCAATATAAAATGTTCTTGCTAAAAAGGTTAAAAAATGAAGAAATTCTTTGGATAAATGTAATAATAGCTCTTTGGGCGTGATAACTCATTTGAAGTCCTTCACAACGTCTTAAGGGATCCTTTCTTGTAGTAGCTCTGACGATTCGGTTTGCTTTCTGAGTTATGTCATGACCTGAATTATTTTATGTCACTTGTATATCACATTATCCTCAAATAATCCCAACCACTTTCACCTGTAGCAAATCAGTGGCACTAAATAGTCCTAGACGACAGTGACAGACTCATACGTTACAGCACTACGGTATTAGATTATATTTAAGCTTGCATTATTAAAGTTTGTGAAAATATGTTTAATGAGTGATGCTATGCTAAGCTCAGGAAAAACCTGGATAAATGAGTGGAGAAGCAGTGCAGACTCGAAAAAAGGTGCAGATGCTTCTAGACAGGTGTACTGCAGCATACAATTCGATAATAATGTTTCATTCTCTGTGGTATGTTCAAAAATGCTGCCCATTTAACCTTGAATTTGATTCAAGATGCCAAGAGGAAAAGATTTATTTGACCTCAATAAAGGGTTCGCATGGCAGGAGCATTAGTCACAAATACTGCTGAACTAGCTACTGTTTCAATAGCAAAATTGACTATAGGAGGTACATCAGTAAATAGGCTTGAAAAAGAACATCAGTTCCTAAAGTGACTGAGAATGTCAATACAAAATGTGATCCAACTGTGATAGCAAGAGCAATTCATTCATAATGTGTATGTACAAAAGGATATTATAGTAAGGTAGTGCATAAACCTACCTAAAAAAAAAGAATGTTGAAAAGAAGTGTGGAAAAAATGATATAGTCAGATGAGTCACCCTTCATCACATTCTCCACGTGGGTGAGCGCATGTGTGGTATACTCAAAGTTAATTGTTACAGGCCTGAATGCTTGATCCCACAGTAATGAGGGTCCAATGTCTCTGTTATGCTGTGGGGGGGGCGCATTTCTCTGGCATAGGTTGAGTCCACTTACCCCTTAAAAGGGGAAGAGTCACTTCAAATCAATACAAGATTATTTTGACTGGTCACCTTTATCCTATGATAAAACATTTCACCAATACCACAACAGTCGACAGTCTTAATGAAAGCTGAAAAGGCTAATATTTAGTTCAGTTAAGGATATATTAGGATATATTACGTTGATAAGGATATGTTCACCTTGTCGTGTTACTCATGTACTGCATAATAAGCTGTTTCATAAAGTGAGAAAAGCCCATGAGGTATAATGGTACATTTTGAACATTCATATCTTAAAGTACTTTTATTGTATAATAATTGCATATTTTATACCCAAGCCTGATTACATCACTGGTTTAAGATGATTTCACCATGTTCCTATTCTTAAATTGCCCTTGCCCCCAATTTTTTGGAATGGGTTGCAAGGGTTAATTTCAAAAGAGCATGTCTTTACAAAAAACTGTGATAAAGGTATAAAGTAAAACAGTAATACCACAATTCTTTGGGTTTAAAAATAGTATAGATAAACATGCACTATATGGACAAATGTATTGGGACACCTACACGTTACACCTACAGGAGCTTTTTTGACATGCCTTTCTAAATAGGCATTAATATGGAGTTGGCCCCCCTTTGCAGCTATAACATCTTCCACTCTTCTGGGAAGGCTTCCTACAAGATTTTAGAGTGTGTCTGCGGGAATTTTTGCCCTTTCATCCAGAAAAACATTTGTAAGGTCAGACACTGATGTTGGACCCTCGGGGCCTGGCTCGCAGTCTCCGTTCTAATTCATCCCAAAAATGTTTGATAGGGTTGAGATCAGGGCTCTATGCGGGCCAGTCAAATTCTTCCACACCAAACTCAACCATGCCTTTATGGACATTGCTTTGTGCACTGGGGCACAGTCATGCTGGAACAGAAAAGACCTTTTCCTGCATGGCTAAGTGCTTGATTTTACACCAGTGACAATGGGACTGAACGAAAAACTTGAATTCAGAGGTGTGTCCCAATACTTTTGTTTAAATAGTGTATATATTTAAGCAAATTTTGTATTATTTTTTAAGCAATAGAACACGAGAGGGAGTGTATTATCGCGAAATAACATCACGGCTGTGATTTGGTCACATGCATGAGCCGAAGGTGAGCGCCGTAGATCATCACAGCCGTGATGTTATTCGCAATAACACATGACCTCGAGTGTTCTATTGCTTTTATACAACAATTAAATAAATAAAGAAAGAAAGAAACAAATTGGGCCGTGAACGTGGCATTTAATGTGTTTTAATATTAGCAGTTCCTTCCGCCAAATGATAGTTCCTACGTCAGAGCAACGAATTCTGCTCACTCGCTGCACAGCCAGCAGTTCGTTCTCCAGCTCCTTACACTAAATTCCGAAACTGTCATTTCCACTAAGCAAGCTTATCAGTCGGCAGCTGTGACAGAAGAACACCTAAACAACCTGGAATTAGCCAGAAATGAACCGAATACCATTCGCCAAACGTGTAGTCTCATATTCAGAATCTGACCAAATCGGACTGAGCCATAAAACTGCCGCAATATCAAGTGGAGCTCAGTTTTGTCAATTTTTGCTAGATCAATATTAATGTTGTTTTGTTCCAGCCAGTCTGTAAAGCATCTTTGAGCCCACTTTGTGTGGCGAATGGTATTCGGTTCATTTCTGGCTAATTCTAGGTTGTTTAGGTGTTCTTCTGTCACAGCTGCCGACTGAAAAGCTTGCTCAATGGTAATAACAGTTTGAGAATTTAGTGTAGTCTCATCTTCAGAGTCTGGCCAAATTGGCTGTAGGTCAAATGTAATCTTAAAATGATCCATTTTCTGTTTGTGTGCAAAGTAAGAAGTGAAAACGTTCAAGTGGCTTGAGCGTCTCCTACAGCTGTCAAAGTCGTTGCTTAGCAACAGCGTCTCAGCTGAGTGATACAGTGTTTGTGAAAAAACTGTGATGTTATGGCGAAATAACAGCACGGTTAGAACGCTTCTCAACCAATCAGCTTGCGTGGCCAGAACTAACTGTTGTACAAAATTGCAATATATCATACTTAGCATATCACAAATTTTTAAATATCGTAATATAATTGTATTACATCTCAAGTATTGTGATGTGATATATCACAGAATCTACAGCAATTCCCACCTCTGCTATCAATCAATCAAGCAATCAATTTTATGCAAAAGTGTGGGCACCTCTGCTCAAATAACGTTTTGTTGATTTTCTAATCGAAAGCAAGTTAACATACCCTCTACAGAGAAAACAGTTCTGTAGATTTTAATGCACAATACTGCTCATTTGTTGATTTTAACATATTGGTGAAAATACAAAACACAAATGTGGCCTGGGCAAAATGTTTGGCACATTTCATATTTTGTGATATGATAAAATTGGCAATCTGGTCAACTCAGTTTTACAATATGTTAACCCTCTATTGCATGTTGTTGCCGTTACAGTGCACCAGCGAGCTGGAATTCATTACAGGAAACTCTAAAACTTCGTTCCCTGGTGTCACATGAACATTTTAAACTTTCAGTCTCTAACCACCTCCGCACAACTGCTTTATTTGATTTTACTTCATTTTTAATATGACTTTTGGTATGTTTTAGCTATGTCTTAGCTATTGTTTTTACTTTTACACTTTTGCTTTTGTACTTTTATCTCTTTACTTTTTATCATTCTTTTTATTTCTTTTATTAGTATTCTTTTTATTTATTTTATTATTGTCAATTTACTGTCTTACATCTATTTCTTTTATTTCATTAAATTATGTTTTTATTTATTTTATCCTTATCTGGTACTTGATAAGTTGTTATATTGTAATTTTAATCATTTATTGATTTAACAGTTTATTGGTACCTTCTTATTATTAAATTTTACTTTTATGATTTTTCTTATTTAATTGTAGCATTTGATTTATTTATTTATTTTTAACTGTATAACTTCTCAATCCCTGATTCCTGTATTACTCGGCTACATTGTAAATGAGGGTCTCCCTCAATGTATTCCGAGTTTAAATAAAGGTTGATTGATTGATTGATTGATTGAAGTTTTGGGTAAAAGAGCAGCAAGGCTTTACAAAGTGATAAGGTGGAAAAGTTTGAATTAGCAATAAAACTTTAAAAGAAATGCTGTCTGTGTAACCACAGCACTAGTTACAATAACATCTGTCATCTCCGTGCAGAAAACAAATGAAAAATAGTACAGTAAACTTTGCATGTCCCTGAGAGACATTATAGATAGTTTTCTCAACACAGATCACACACAGTTCAACACTGAAGGAATTATTTTTTTAAGGAGTAGTCTAATGTTTTTCAACTTAATCTCCATCTGTTGCATCTATAGTGTCCAGTGACTGATAAGGAGAATAAGTTTAAAGCATCTTTTACATAAAAATTTACACTGATAGATGTTAGGTGATTAGGTTGAAAAGATGATGTAGTATTACTTTAAATGGACAGTTCCTATCATTATTGAAAGTCTAAATGAATCTATACTACTGTTCGGCTTAAAAAATTTCAGTATATATTACAGAAATGGGAGTGGCTACTCAATCTCTGCATTGCTGTCACAGCAAAAAAGTTACATGCGTAATACTTTTACTTGCCTACAAGTAGAAAAGATGTCCAAACGTTTAATATAATCATAGTTTTGTTTAGTCTAACTGTCTACCTGGATGGCTTAAGTAAAGGCATTGTCATTAGCTTAGGAATTTACAGTGAACGTCACCACAAAAAGTCACTTTTTTCTGCAATTTTACAAGTTTTAATGACAAGAGTCCTATACCTGAGATAAGTCAATACATATCAGCTTAATGTGGTCCACAGAATACAAGTGAATGCTTCTTTGAGTGCCTCCAAAATGTGAAAACACCTTTTCAACAGCATATGTTAGACTATTTACAATATGACAATTTGCACAGGATAAATATAACCAGATTGTTTTATTGCATTAAATTATTACCTGAGGTACTTTCTATGGTTCAATTTGTAGTAGGTAAAATAAACCAGAATCTTTACTGACGCGGTAGCATGGAGCCCGTAAAAATGACTGACATGGCATATTTGGACGGGACTAAAATCACTGAGAAACACTGGCAATAATCAAGATACACCACCTCCCCAGGTAGAACTAATCCTATCCCAATAGTGCTTAAGACGATACTTAACCTGTGTGGAGAAATCAGTCCACTCCAGTCCAACATGGCCACATATCTGATTAATTGTGTTAAAGCAGGAAAAACATAAAATGTGTAGTCCTTTCAGTGAAGTGCACCAAGACATTCAGAAAATGCCTCCGCTTTTTCCAGTGACAGCTCTTCACAGGTCAGTCTTCTTCTCATAACGGCAAATACACGATGCTCTCTGGCTGTCCAGGTAGGGTTTACAGCCCAGGTGCATTACAGCGTCAAAAAGCAGCATCACCGCCGACTCACAGGCTGGACCAAACAAACAGGATTAAAACGTTATTTCAGAAAATGTGGTACTGCTTGACTGCTACTTTCACCATCATCTGATTCCATTTGATTAAATTTTTTTGATGCGAGTTACATATGTGCATACTTTGTTAAATATTATTTAAGGCTATTAAATGATTAAAATAATTAATGATTGATCATATTTGTATTATTTGCTCCAATTTGACCCCAAGGATTTTTTTTCAATTTAAAAAGCAGTGCATTTGCTATTGCAATATGAGTAAACTAAATAAGCTTCATGAGAATGTATTTACTACTTTCAATAATTTATTAAGATTATTTTCCTAGTGTGAATGCGGTGAACAGTGTCCATTCCAATGTGCACATTCCAATAAATGAATGTATATGTGTATTATTTAATTATTAACTCCACACATTTCATCTTACTATAAATGTCCTGTGTTAAGTCTATTAGGATATGTATTTAATTTCTGTAAGAGATTTTTAAAGGATTCTGTAAGTGATTTTTAAAGGATTCATGTCAGGGCTTTGTGATTGCCACTCTGATACGTTCACTTTGTTGTCTTTAAGCAATTCTGTCACAAATATTAATCAATGCTTAAAATCATTGTCCTGCTGGAAGACCCACTTGCCACCAAGTTTCAACGTTCCGGCTGACGTCTTCAAGTGTTGCTTCTGTATTTCTAAATAGAGCACCAGTCACTTTTCCATCAACCCACCGCATGATGCTGCAATCCCCATCCTTATAGTTTCGAGAGTGTACTTTTGATTTAAAGTCTTTAGTCTAAGCATATGTAACCTTTTGGCTTAAACTGTATGACTGTGCATTTCTACTCTCCAAATGAACAAGTCAAGATAGGCACGTTTTTGCAGACAGTTTACCTTGCACACTCTGGTCCAGTCCCAGTGTCATTTGGACATTCCTGCAGATGGTCTCCAAACACCCCTGGAACTGCTTGTCGCAGTCGTGCTTCTCCTGTCCACATGTGTCGTAGCAGTGGTCATGCAGATTACAGCACTTTGTCATGGATGGAATCCCAAAATCGAACTGTAAATAAACAAGAGCAAAAAGCATTTTGCACACAAACACAAGAGGACTTTAAAAATATCAGGATACAGATTGAAAAGAAAAGCAGTGGTATTCCTTATCCGTAGCAGTTGCTTTACGTATGCATATATTATATACTGCATATTGACGCTGTGCAAAGAAAACAGTTTTCTCCTTTTAAGCCAATTTTTTCTTTCCTACATCATTTGAGCACAGCAGATGTCCTTTACATTATGTGAAAAGTAATGACAAATGGACCAATAGAAATGCTCCAAAATGGCTTGGAATAAAATATTTTTACATTAACTTACAATGAACGTAAATGACTAGAAGAACTTCATATTAAGTCATTTTATACCTGGATAATCCATGAGTGTGTATGTTTACATCCTATACATTTATTTTCTACAATTATTTCTCCCCATTTTTTCCAGCATGAAATACTCACTGAATTTTATTAAAACATATTCAATTTACATGCTAAAAATAATTACATATAAAAAACGTATAGGTATTTCTAAGGTAGAATGAATTCTCAAAAGGCGCAAGTATTAATGCTTCATTAGTCCATTCCTACTAACTACTATAGCCTTATTAATAACTGTTCAAATTCTTCTTGCCTGAAATCCAAACAGTGGAGAGCCACATCCATTGGGTGGTGATTGTTTATAACCAGGTCGAGGAACAGGTTTGTATCCTGGAAAAACAACAAAGACAACACCACCACATGACATCAACCACATTTCTGATTCTTAATTTCTCAGACTTGATCTAAAACAACTAGATACAGATATCTGAGGCCAGTGGTCTGATGTGAAACAGTTTATTGTAGAGAAACTCACCAAGTCAGATTTTTTACAGTAACAGTGATACTTCTGTAATATCTCTGGCCATGCAAATAATACCTGTTCTGTGTAGGTCCTGATCATTGAAGAACAGGGTGAATGGACAATGAGTGTAAACACAAGGAGTTGTACTTATTGAAGTGGCCAGTCGGTGTATAATTAGAGCTCTGTAGACTGTCAGGAAAAAGAGTGCATATCCTACACTTTTTTTTTTGCCCCCACTATAGTCCACTTATGATTTGTGTGGTTTTATGTACAAAAAACATAATAATTCATCATAATTCATTTCTACATGGCCATAAAATCTTTCTTTATCAGGCTATTTTTGTTTTTGAACCTTCAGGAATAATATATGTAAAAGAGCTTTGTTTTGACTGAATGCCATGTATTGTGCCTCATTTAAAAAGCAGTTCTAGGCTCGAACATTCTGTATAACTTCAGTGTGTATAGGCAAGGCTAAACTATTACATGCTGATCAGGCAGATGTAATGCACTAATTTTCATGACAAAAACAATGAATTCAAAACGTCTACAATGTTTATATACTACATCAAACGTTTTGAAAACATCATGGGAAATCCCATTTTCTAAAATATGGGCCTTTTAAGGTCCAATTGTGTACCTTAAATGAGTTTTAGAGGTACACATTCGTTTTACCAAGGGAAACGTGCATATTTATACCATTTATTTTCTTAACAGAAAAGAATTGAAAATAGAAAAATAACAAAAAAAAAACTGGAGTCTAGACAGGGTGTATGGAGTCAATGCAATTAATAACTGCTGCAAATAACTGCAACAGACGATGCAGACAACGTGAGAGCCTTTTTAAAGTTTTTGAGAGGACAATCAAGACACAAACAGATAAAACACATAAAACACTGGAAAATCGAATAGAATCTTGACCTCAGAATCGAAAATCGCACCTGAAAATACGTGTAACGATACACTCGAAGAAGATCCAGGCTCCTCACCGCCTCACCTACCATCACTGCATTTGTAGTGACAGAGTCCATCTGAGCCTCCGATCAAGTCCAGAGCATAGTTGAGGTACGTGTCTATCTTATGGATGCCATTCCGGATCGTTTTTAAAGTTTTTATCCAGTCTGGAGTCTCGGGTTCAAACTCCTCGAACCCACTCGCCCTAGTCATAAAGCCTATGGAGAGAAGCAAGACAGCCGAGGTCACACCGCACTGCATAGTCCAGCCAACGAAAAACACGCAGTATATTCAGTCTATTTTACTGCTTTACACGGCAAACAATAACACACACCGCGAGTCAATGGCGCATCCTATTATTTCTTTAGCAGTTTAACAACTAATACGAGAAGTCAAATGGCGTAAACAGTTAATAACAGAGGTCATATTTAGCAGCAATCAATCTTGTTGCCGTCCTTCCCTGTGAGTCACTGAAACACACATCCGGGTGTTATTAAGAAAATAAAAGCCATACGTGACGTCAGCAAAGCCGGGTAAAATACCGCAGTAAAGTTGGCTTGCGGTTAGCGATTTAGACTTCTATTGGCTGTAACTCAGTAATGGAGTAAGGTGCATCTGCAAACGCTGGTGCGTTTTGTTAGTCCTGATTTGTGAATTCAGATGACGTAATTTTCCACGCCAAAATCCGCCACTATTACACATCAGGGTTTTATTTTCTAAAGCTTATAACTTCAAAAGTTGAGCTCTCAGATGAATGAAACCAGGTTCAAACTGACCAGGCTGATTTGTGAAAAATTTCACAGCTCTTATTTTGCCTGTCCACTCTCGCAAGCGAGAACGGAAAGTGAAAGAAAGTGAAATATAAGCGTTTTTTTTTTACTTTGGCATCTGATTTTTTATAGAAACGACATCAAAATCTATGAAAATGTTTTTGCTCAAGCAGAGCTCGATATGTGAAAAAATTCACTAATGGAGCTCGAGTTTGATTGCTCTATACAGCTGTGTCTCCTTAGGAATAAGACTATCTGACTTTGGAGTTTAATTCCACACACAAACATTATCAGTAACCTTGCAAATTCACTTGTTGTACGTGTTACTTGATTTGTGAAAATATTCACAAACAGATTTTATTGTTTTATACAGATCTATTTCCATTACCATGCATACAAAATTGGATATTTCTATCATTTACCCAAACTTTGACAGAGTAATATACATGTGGAGATGAAAACAGGCTAGAATTACTTGTCAGTCATTGATTAAAAAGCTTTTGCACAAAAAAGCTGAAAAATATGTGGTTTTAACTTTGGAACACAATTTGATACATATACACTACTAATAACCATGCAATGTTGGTTATCACCTGACTTGTGTAAACTTTCACAAACGCAGTATATTGGAGTGATTTATGCAGTTCGACTCCCATTTTAATGTGTAATAATACAGTATAGTTCAGCTTCTTGGGGCAAATACAGAACATGAATGCATACAACTTTAATAACTGATCAACTATAAATATAACACCACACACAAATTAACCTTTCTGATTAGTGAAATATTTCACAACTGTATTGAATGCCTATCAGTCCTTAATTAATAAGTTTAGGCCACAAAAAAGCTGAATATTTTGAGGGCTTGACTCTAAAAAGCCATGTACACTAACAGTAGCAATGAAATTTCACTTGTAGCCAGTGTCTAATTTGTGAAAACAAGGATTTATGGTTTTGTTACATAAAAAATAATGACAGTCATTGAAATAAATGAAACTGTTAAACGAAAAAGAAGGAATAAAATAACAACAGAAAGTTTTTACAAGCTGGAACACTGATTAAAGCTTGCTTTTATCATTTGGCATAATCAATTTTTGACTTTATATGCGTTGCTGTGCGAGTGTTTGATTAACTAACTGTCATATATTTTACAGGAGAAAATGTACACATTTGTTTTCATAAATCATCTAGTTCGTAAAACAAGTTAATAACATTGTTCACAGAAATGGCTGTATTTTAAAAATTACTCCAATACAGATTTTTCATTGGAATAGTGCACTGAATTACAAAAGCATGACAGGAGGTAGGAAAAAAGTGAAACATTTCAGATGTCAGGTAAGCTGATTTGAACCTAATTTCATCTCTCTACATGATCCGTTAATGAAGTTATATGCATTAATGTTCTGTATTTGCCCCAGAAGCTGAACTACCGTATTATTACACATGTAAAAAAAACACCAAACTACGTTTGTGAAAGCTTTCACCAATCACATAATGGCTAAAACAAGTGAAATGTAATTGCTACTTTTAGTGTACATGGCGTTTCAGAGTCAAGTCCTCCAAATATTCAGCTTTTTACTGCCTAAACTGATTAAGAAAAGACCGATAGACATAAATATAATTGTTAAATATTTCACAAATCAGAGAAGTTAATGAGTCTACTTTTACCGTTATACTTGATCAGTTATTAAAGTTGTATGCATTAATGCTCTATATTTGCCCCCAAAAGCTGAACTACTGTATTATTACACAAGAAAATGAGAGTGAAAAACAAAAAACAGGTAATGGCTACAATAAGTGAAATTTCATTGCTATTGCATTTCAGAGTCAAGCCCTCCAAATATTAAACTTTTTGCCAAAACTGATTAATAAAGGACTGAAAGACATTTGTGAAAAAATTCACAAATCAGAAAAAGTTCATTTGTGTGTGTTGTGTGTGTGGAGGAGGTGGTGGATTAATGCAGTTCTACTCCCATTGTCATGTGTAGCACATGACAATAAGGGTAGACCTACATTAATCACTCAAATATACTGTGTTTGTGAAAGTTTTCACAAATCAGGTGATAACCAATGTTGCCTGGTTATTGGTAGTGCTTATGTATCAAATTGTGTTCCAAAGTTAAAACCACATATTTTTCAGCTTTTTTGTGCAAAAGCTTTTTAATCAATGACTGACAAATAATTCTAGCCTGTTTTCATCTCTTTACATGTATATTACTGTGTCAATGTTTGGGTAAATAATAGAAATGTCCAATTTTGTATGTATGGCAATGGAAATAGATCTGTATAAAACAAACAAAAAAAAAAATCACAAAATCTGTTTGTGAATATTTTCACAAATCAGGTAATATGTACAACAGGTGAATTTGCAAGGTTACTGATAATGTTTGTGTGTGGAATTAAACTCCAAAGTCAGATAGTCTTACTCCCAAGGAGACACAGCTGTATGGAGCAATCAAACATGTGCTCACAGTCTACACAGGCCGTGGACGGGCAAAATAAGAACTGTAAAATTTTTCACAAATCAGCCTGGTCAGTTTGAACCTGCTTTCATTCAAGTCAAAAGTCAAGTCAAAGTTTACTTATATAGCGCTTTTTACAACAGGTGTTGTCACAAAGCAGCTTTACAGAAAAATCTGGGTCCAACCCCCATAAGCAAGCCAATGGCGACAGTGGCAAGGAAAAACTCCCTAAGAGCAAGAGGAAGAAACCTTGAGAGGAACCAAGACTCAAAAGGGGAACCCATCCTCCTCTGGTCGACAGAGCAATGGTTAATTAGATTAGTTTTAGTTTATGCAGCGGCATCAGGAGGGTCAGTTCATGATGGTGAGGTTTGCACAGTGTTGTACAGCATGAAGCTCAATGGTGGTCAAACCAGTCCAGAAGGCTGGCGAGCAGTGGGCACCCGATCAAGGCAGAAGAAGCAACAGAAGCAACAGCATCAGACGCACAGGATGGGGAGTTATTCAACTCGGCAAAGAACAGGAAAACACACAGAGAGTTAGTTCTGTAAAGAGTGACTGATCACAGATTACAGTATTAACAGAGTGCAGCACAGACTCCGGCAGATCTAGTTATTACAGCCTAACTAAAGGGGAGAAACCAGAAAGGTAGCAGAGACATGAGGGCTCCCTGAGATGTCAGCGCCCCTCTGCTCTGTCAGCAAACCTGAGTGAACGTGTGAGAGCAGCGGGACGACAGCACCAACGCTCCCATTTAAGTCTTTTTAGAGCTTTATATGGCAGTAAAAGAATTTTGCAATCTATGCGAAATTTAACTGGCAACCAGTATAGGTTTGATAAAACTGGGCTGATATGATCAACCTTTCTGGTTCTTGTGAGGACTCTGGCTGCAGCGTTCTGGACTAGCTGAAGTTTGTTAAGGCTTTTGCTGGAACATCCACACAGCAAGGCATTACAGTAATTTATTACCTCAAGTAAGCCTTGAGGTAATAAATGCATGAACTAGCTTTTTTGCATCCTGTAGACACAATGCATTTCTTAATTTAGCAAAATTGCAGAGATGCAGGAAGGCTATTCTAGTAATATTTGTTATATGTGCATCGAAGGACAGATCGGGATCTATCGTGACACCAAGATTTTTTACATATGAACCTGATGCAACTGAGAAACTATTAAGTTCAAGTGTTAAATTAGACAGGTTGTTTCTAGCAGCTTTTGGACCAAGAAGCAGAACTTCTGTTTTATCTGAGTTTAGAAGGAGAAAGTTATTCAACACCCAGTCTTTTATGTCATTTATACATTCATCTGAGAGCTCAACTTTTGAAGTTATAAGCTTTACACATTAAACTCTGACATGTAATACTGGTAGATTTTGGCATGGAAAAAAACACACCAGCGTTTGCAGATGCACGTTTCTCCATTACAGAGTTATAGCTGATAGAAGTCTGAATCACTAACCTCACCACATTGTGCCCCACCAAAATGTGGTCTATCAAGCTTAAAAAATAGGAAGAAATGAAGTAAGTGGTTTAAAAATACCTAAGGCAAAGAACATAATTCTGTCTGTCTATAATAAAGCAACAATGGTCAGATGGAATCCATACATATCAATGCATGTGATATTCACTATAGACAAAGTTAATGCAAGCTGGTGAGGACTCTGCACTGGGGAAGAGGGGGAGGCTGTGGTTGTGACAGAAGTCACAAGATGACTACTGTACTAGTTTATTATTATTTTAGTTTATTAGTTAATTACTGTATTAGTGTAGTATTGGGACACACCTCTTAATTGTTGAATCCAGGTGTTTCATTCAGGTGTTTCATTCGGTCCCATTGCCATAGGTTTATAAAATCAAGCTCCTGGCCATGCAGTCTGCCTTTTCAAACATTTGTGAAAGAATGGTTCATTCTAAAGAGCTCACTATATTCGAGCATGGCACTGTAATAGAATGCCACCATTGCAACAAGTCAGTTCGCGAAACTTCTTCCTTCCTAGATGTTCCACAATCAACTGTGAGTGGTATTATTGCGAAGTGGAAGTGTTTATGAACCACAGCATCTCGTCCATGAATTGGCAGACTGTGTAAAGTTACAGAGCGGGGTCGCCAGTGCTGAGGTGCATAGTGCATAAAAGTAGCCAACACTCAGCTGGCATTAACATCAGCACACAGCACCTGTGCGCTGGGAGCTTCATGACATGGGTTTACACAGAGCCATGACCTGAACCCCAGTGAAAACCTTTGGGATGGT